GCGGACCCATAGCGCCTCTAAAAAGACGCACATATGGAAGAAGAATCTCGTTACAATAACGGGTCCCGTTGACTGAACCTGCGTCGAAGATGTGAAGGTCTGTACGACTACCAAGCATGATGCCTCCCCAAACAAGAACACCGCCACCTCCATACCTGTCCCTTTCAATGATGTTCGAGGGATGATTGCGGCTTCCCCACTCTCTCCAGATGAGTATGTGATGAGAATCGCTACTCAGACTGAATCTGCTCTCATCTGTAAAGAGTACTCGTCCCCATTCATTGTCTCTCCTATTCCGGTGTTCCCGGCACCACAGAGAACGCCTTCTCCGATGGGCAGGCGTTAGAAGTACACACCGTACAGGGCGTCGTGCAAACAGACCACCACCGTGCAGTCTTCTGGCCACGGTAAAACGCGATATCGGTCTTCCAGTCGCCTGTGTCGTGTGTCTAGCGATTTCTCCCGCTGTCTGCCGCCTGTTTCTTCTGGCCTGTAAGGCAATATACCGGTCGTCTGCGGGTGTGGTTCCTCGTGGACGACCACTACTAAACCCCCGGATAGCTGTTCCTGTAGTCTCCAAAATTGAAATTGTCTCCAAAGTCGTGAAACGATGCTGTGAGCAATTCCGAACTCTGCAGCCACACTTGTCACACTGCGGCCTTCCTCCAACTTCCCAATGGTTCGACCTCGGATAAAAGCATCCAGATGTCGTCTAACAGATTGATTATTCGCCATTTCTCGCTGAGGCAGCAACTCGGTGTGATTTTAACTGCTATGCGGCGTGCAATCTCTTTGCCAGAAATACTGATCTTACACCGACAACATGCTTTATACTACTCAGACACTCCCCATTACGTCTACCTGCATATCTGCGCATGTGCTACCGTACATCACCTTACTTAATCTCCTGATTGGTCTTTCTGTCCGCTCTGCCTCTTCGTTCAGTTGATATGCTAATTTTTCGACTTCGTCCTTAATTTTTGCACACCAGTGTATGTTATTAAATCTAAAGTACTAGCTCACCAAACTAACTGCAAAAGACTGTTGCATGAATCTTAGTCCCGCCCGACTTTGTGTATAAAAAAAGTAAAATCCAAAATGAAAATATTTATTAATATGTCCATCTGACGGTATAGTAGACTTAATAATTATTTTACGCTATTTGAAAATTCTCAAGTTATTTTTATTCTGGGCTTTTTGTTCTAGCCTAACTATAAATTACCCTTAAATTCTCATTTCACTAAATTGTTTCTAATAAGCAAAATTCAATGCTATTTCGTAGATTCTCACATTAATCCTATTTTATGATTATAAATTCTAAAATCCAAATCCTTGTGAATAAGGCGAAGCTATCATTACGTTTCAATGTATTTTCAGTGGTCTGTGTTAGTTTCTAACCAGCTTTTATATTTACGAATAAAGCTCAAAAATAGTTTTAAACATTTTACTGGCTTGTGTTAAGGTGATACTCTATTAAAACGAAGAGAGCTACCGACCCATTCACAGAAACTCCCCGGTTTAGTGAAGACGACCGGTTTCCTTAGTGGCACCTATGTTTTATTTTTCTGATATTTACTGAACATTTCATAATTATAATGTTTATTCCTTGATATGTGTACAGGTACAGATAAAAGTATGTGGGACACCAACAATGAACCATAGGTCAACTGATAAAGCCTTCCCATACTAACTTCTTTAAAAAGGGGGGGAATTGCAAGTTTTATAAGAATTTACGTAGTCTAAAGCTTTCCAAATGGTCTATTATGGAGTTTGCCTATTATGGTACACCGTGCAATCCCACCGTACGCCCCGCATCCAGTATTTATTAAAAATAATAATAATAATAATGTAGGCCATAATTAGATAACAAAATTGTCTTAATACAATTTGAAATTCACAAATTAAATTGAACATCTGATTTGGTGCAGCAAAAATAGGAGATAAATATAATTAGTAAGCAGATTGAGATAATTATAATTCGTACTGGCAGCACAATGTTATAATGAATTGTAATGATAATGCTAAAGCGGTGGGTGTCCATGGGTTATTTCAGATATAAAGGCTTATTGCAGTTTATAAAGTTCACTAGAGGAGTCATTTTGTCCATATTCATAGCATGTAAAAGTTCACTAAATTTATGCAGTATGTAGACTTCCACTTGACAGAGATCTAAGCCGTAGGAGTCGTTGCATAATTTTTTGAAACTTTAGATTCTGATGTTTATCTTTAATTAGAAACCTTTGGAATGCCAGGAGATCAGTTCGTGGGGATTTTATGGGAATATCCTCAATTAAGGGGCATGAGAAAGTGCAATGATCAGGAGTTCTCTGTTCCCCACATATGCAAATATCAGAGTTCGCCATATTTCTTGCGTAGAAATATGTGGGAAAGGGTGTCCGTGTCCTGTTATAAAATAATTTAATGAAGGATTCGAGTACAGAGATACGAAGCTTACATTGGGGATCAAGTTATATGTGCGTCTTACCTGTGGAGCATTGTCCCACAAATCTTGCCAAGATTTTAAAGCAAGTTATTTTAATTGGTACTTGAGATTTAAGCGAGGCCACGGAATGATGATTTCAGTACCATCTTGATTAATAGTTGCATCTTTGGCTAATTCATCTGCACTCTTTGGCTAATCATCATTACCAAAATGGCCACTATGTCCTTTGGTCCATGAAATTTGAATTTTGTAGTTTGGAATTTTGCCAAGAATAGAATTTATGTCGGATATCAATGGAGAGGAAGGTAAGAGATTCTTAATAGCTAGAATAGCTGCTTGGAGCAGATTTTATCTATTCGTTGAGATTTGAATGGTTATTTCAATCGCTGCTTTTATGGATGACAATTCCGTATGGAAAACACTATTATTATTATGGAGATGGCCTTTTCATTTGATGATATTTGAAGGGGTAATATGAAAATAGACTGCGGAGCCAACTTTTCCTTCAATTTTTGATCCACCAGTATAAGCAATTGGAGATGAACTACTAACGTGTACAAAACTGTAGAATTGTAGAATTTGACGATTTTAAGGATCATTTGTAAACGTGGCCCATCGATAACAATCTTCCCCTACATTGTGCAATCCCACAACACTCCGTGTCTAGTATTTATCAAAAATAACAATTTAGGACATAAAGAGATTACAATATAGTCTCAATACAATTTGAAATTCACAAATTAAATAGATCATCTGGTTTGGTGTAACAAAAATAAGATACAGATAAACATAATTAGTGTAAAGATAAACATAATGAAATAACTAATAAGTACTGGGAACATAATTGTATAAAGAACTGTAATTATAATGCTAAAGAGGTAGGTATCCATAGAGTTATTTCAGTTGTAAAAGGTTATTACAGTTTATAAAATTTACAAGTGGTGTCATTTTGTACATATTCACAGGAGGCAAACGCTCACTAAATTTATGCAGTATGAAATCTTACGCTTGACAAAGATCTATGCCGTAGGAAATGAGTCGTTGCATACTTTTTTGAAAATTCGGATACTGATGTTTATTTTTAATTAGAAACCTTTGAAATGCCAGGAGATCAGTGGGGAGAATCACAGCAAGCAAATTTTTGTCGTGAAGCTAATACAAGCAGCAGAAACGCACAGATGAGTAAGCAGTATGGCTAAGCTTCCAAAGGTTAATTTATAAACTTTGAAACTAACTCCTATTTGTACTTGTTTGGATTCTAGTCGAATCTGAAAATCTTGAATCTGAAGTAGAACTATACAAGCAGCCAAAATAAAAACTTACAACGTAAAACTTTTCAATTCAGTCATAGAATCTTTATTTCTTTCGTATGCTTGGCCATAAAGTAAGAAAAATAGTAACTCACTGTTTTGAAATATTTGCAAAGAATAATTACATATCATGCAGCAAAATATCAAAACACAGAAAAGCACGTTTTGGATTTGAGAATACAATAAATCTAGGGGAAATTATTAAAAAATATTAAAATTTTGAAATCCGTACCATTGCTTATTTTTAATGTAATTTAACTAATCAGGACACTTAAAAATATTAAAAATAATAATAGTTTTCAAAACTATGTTGAAAGTTCCAAACACTTAAGTATTTCTATAATTGTTTGACTAGCTATGGTTAAAATTTCGTGCAAAGAAATTCTGCAAGAGGAATTTAAAATATTTTGAGTCAAATTTATAGTTTTTATATTTATAAATTGTTTAAAACTTTCATTATTAAATTGAACTTTGGTATATTTTTATTGTTTTTCGTGAAAATACTGTTATCGATAAAGGCTTTACCTAGTGGTAAAACTTTCTAACCCAGACATATACAAAATGCAAAATGAGATATTAAAGTTTCTTAAGAAGACTCTAAATCTAGTCAATATATTCTGGTTTCAAAAAATATAATCATACCTGAAATGCATAAACACATGACGTATAGTCAAAATAAAGCACTGTTATACACAGGCATCCGTTTATATTTTCGTTCAGGCCGCCCAGACAGGAAAGTAGTTAGCGCCTCTGACTACTATGTAAAAGGGCCCGGGCATGGAGTGCTGTATCAAAGGGCACGGAGAAGGCGTGGATGTAATTTGTTCGTCCCTTCATAGGAGGCAACGTTGGCCCACGTGTCTCCATACTAAATCCGCTTCCAGCCTTAGTAGTGGCCATTGCCAATAAACGACTACAGCCTGCCACTGGGAGGGGGAGGAATTCGTTCAGTTTGTTCCTTACAGCATAGAAAAGTATCAAAGAAAAACTAGACTAATATAAGCATCAGTATTATATTTAAAAATTTAAGTTTAATTTCTTGATAAAAGAAAAAAATAATGCAGATGTAATAATATATAATGTAGATATATAATGTTGACACTTCCATCAAAAAGACTAGATTTCTAAGAAGCAAATAATCGTATTTTAAAACTTCCGTATTTTTCTCTGTTCCATTGTTCTTGACACTTTTTTATCAAATTGTTTCTAAAAGATTTTTAAGCACCTTTTTCTTTTCAAAATTCCAGCATGGAATGGGCAGATTACGAATTTTTAAAGATGGCATCCGACTAGAGGGTCAGTCTCATTTTCTACAAGCAATGTATGCCGCACAAATCCAATCCAGAAAGGTAAGTAACAGTGATTGTATATAATTTAAAATTAGTAAAATCAGCAGTATTTCTAATGAGGGATATTACCGAAAAGATAAAGATAAAAATGCTTATAAAGAATTTTATCTCTGGCTTTCGATAAGAAATTACACTCCTCACATTCAGTACTTTTATTTAAGGCCTAAAAAGTAAAAATACATTTCCATGTATTAATTCAATCTGAAACGGTTTCATTAGTTATAATTAATAAAACGGTACTAACAAACAATACTTCATTTCAAAATTTATTATTAAGGATTTAATATTATTTCGCCATCACTTTCGATTTCATGCATCATTAATAATGCAACTAGACATGCCAAACGATTTAAATGCACACATTTTTCTGAATAAAACTTTTAATTTTACAATGTGATTCAGACTGAAATAATGACAGTTACACACTTACACACACACATAGAAAATTTGCAATGTTTGTGCATTCCAAGAATAACGTACATTTTGTTAAATTTTTCTTTATAGTTACGGAAATTTGTAGCATAATTCTGGCAAGCTGAAAGCACAACTACCCATTACGGCTAACGTACGGAGTATTTCAAATAATATTTGTTTCATGCGAATGCACAAATTTATTTTCAATTAATATGTTAAACTAAAGTAATTCAAATTCATAAGTAAGTAAATCAGAATTTTGCAACAACGGATTCACATACTCTAAAACAAAATATTATTTAAAAGTTATATAATTCTTAATTAAAGTATTAAAATGAAGTGCACATTCTATTCACTCCATTTTATACAGCTTCCGTACAACATTAGAATGCATATTTTGTATCTAAGAACAAGGCGGTTTATGATGTTTAAAAAGGCTTAGTTGCAGTCTGAGCAATTTCATTACTGCTTCCAGTAGTATTTCTAGGAGATGAATACTGCGATTTACTTCGTCCTAGCTGTAAACCAAGCAAAACAAAGGGAAAAAAGTCCTAAAGTTGTCCCCACGAACTTGAATATCACCACGTAAATAACAATATTTGTTTCTCATCTATAAATGGAGAATGCTATCTTAAAATCCGATGCTAATAGTAGCAACGTCACCTACCATTTCGCTTCAAAAGCGATGAAATCTATGCTTTAAACATAGACATCCAAATCTCTCATCCCTATCTGAAAACAAATTATTTTTCATGTATTAATGGCTTACTGTTTTGTGTCTATATTTATGCGAAATTAAATAAATATATGTATTCTAAATACATTTATTACTCTTTATATATATATTAACATCTTTAATTTACTAATTATATTAATAAACTATATTTTAATTTTATAAAGAATTAAGATATAAAGAATTCAGAAGGAATTCTCAAAGTGTCAACAGCTTGAGTAAATAATTTTCGGTGAGTTTGAATACTTTGCTGGGATTATAGATGCTGTTTCAAGCAGTCAAACATCTTAAGCAGTAATAGTACATTTTCAGGCAGTCATAGCACATTTATTTCAATGTGTAGTTTTACATTTGCAATATTTGAGAAGAATTTCACATACGGATAACATTAACTAAAATAAAAGTAGTTAAGTATTGGCGCCACTGATTCTTGGATCTCATTTCAAATGACATTCACCACTTGTTTAGACTTCTGATGAAATTCAAGACTTAAAACTGCAATCTTCTCTGATGGCAATGAATTGTTCCTGAATTCTAAATAGTACAGCGGAGTTGGGAAGAACGATTGATAATCAGAGTGAATCACCAAATGTTTTCTTAGTCAAAGAAAATTTGCAGTGACTCAGCAAGCTACATTGTAAGATAAAATAATATATTTTACATATGAGATTTTAGAGTTAAAAAATAACATAACTCGCATGTTAATTTCATATGCAGGGAGATTTGAAAAGTTTTCACGATTAACTATAACGGTTGGTCTTAGACTCATATTTCTAATTTAAGAAATGAATGAAATAAATTAAGTTTTTAGACTACTCCAATTAATAAACTATTTGAGTATGAGTATATGAAATTTAATCTTCACATGGCCCCTCTAATAAAAGTTTAAACTAATTAAATTATTAATTTATTCTCAATCTTTTTATTAAAGAACCTTTAGCAAAACTGGGTTTTGCTAGACGGAGAATTGGCCATAGAGTAGTTTTGAAAGTGATATGGCTTAAATCACTTTCACGCGACATGAAAATGAAGATTTTATAAAGTATAAAATGCATTTTGAGGAATGAGAACCTGAAACATATGCTTCTGCACTAATTTTTATCTGACTTAAAAGACGTCGTTTAGATATTCTACTAGCAAACTTAAAATGCATAGCTGGCTTTAGCAGTATTTGTGTGCAGTCCAGAAAACATTTAATTTAGAATAGCAAGGTTAAATTTGAGTTATATGTGAAAGAATTTTTGTTGCTGCTGTTTTATCTATTTAGCAATGAAAAGGATTTCTCTTATTGAAATATTTTTCTTAGCTTATTTTGTATAGTTTTACAAAAGCATGGCATATGAGAGAAGAGCTACTACTGTCTGAAAATTTATTTCTGACTTGTAGCGTACTTTGTTTGATTAATTATTTAATCAATTATTATTATTTAATTAATTTTTATACCATTTCACGGATATGCAATGAGCTGTTTGAGAGGTATTTAATCGTTTTTTCTTTTTGAAGCATCATGTGTTATCTTTATACTATATTAGATATTTTCACTTATTTAACGTTTGTCAAAGCATTTGATGGCAAATTTCTCGAGTCATATATTAAAATTACAAATTACGCTATTAATAAAATTTTGATTTTGTTATTATAATTAGATAACATTGAAACTGCATAAAGAGATATTTTCTGTAGATTATTATTTTAGACTTTATTTATTTCGTAACTCATTTATATTTGTGTTAAAGTTGTCTTTCATGTCAACTGCTTGAAACTAAAACTAAATCCTGAAAAGCTTTTCGGTTTATTAGGTTAAGTGCGTAATCCTTTTTATCCCTTCAATTTAACACCACTTCATGTTGAAATGATTAGAGACTGGAGCAAGATACGGTAAAATAGCAGTTATTTAATACTATTTCCAATCTTCAGATTTTATTATTTTACCTTTTATATACTGTGCAATTACATACTATCTGTTCAGCCTTTTAGTTCACTAACAGAATTTGGAAATAGCTTCAAATAAAAAAAAAATGCTAAGATGGTAAGAAATTTAACTCTGCTGTCTGAAAAGATCTATTGCTTTCATCCATTGTTCATTACTTGTCAAACTGGATTTTAAAAGAGGTTATAAAATGTGAAAGGTAAAAGCCGGACATTAGTCATTCTGCTAATGATTCAGCTTTAAATCAGATATTTTTATTGACCGAAAATGTATCTATAGAAATCTTACCGTTTTGTGTGTTTTTTTAACAAAAGGACACTTACATAGAAATTTTATAAATTGATGAAAAATGAAATAATCTCAAGTTTATAATTTAATTTCCTTTGAACATATAGCAGTACTGTAAGAACTTATAGTAGATTAAATTATGTATTTTATTAATTTTGTTATATCTTTTTTTGCACCATCTATCGCGTACCTCAAATTTTATAAGATATTTAGTTCATTAGAATATTTTATAAGATCTTGGATATCCAGTGATTCACAAGATACGAAGGTGTTAGCAGTTATTTCGTGCTGATATTAATTTGTCCATAGGAAAAGGAATTCTCTTGAAAAAATATCTAAGTACACAAATACTTAATTTTAGCTGGAGTATTCTACAACTCTGTTTTGCTACTTTAGCATTTAACTCATAAATCATCATCGTATGCGGATGCAATGTAATCTTTATCAGATGAGCTACAATTTTTCTTTTTATTTTGCATTTAAATAATTTATATCACGCGGAATTATATGTTATGTAAAATTCTCATAGGTAACCCTTTGCGGCACAGTGTGTCTGGTCTGGACACACCTAAAACTTTCCTTCTCTACACACAGAAAAATTGAATGAAAAAGGATTTATAGGTTACTATAGGTTTACTCTGAATATTCTTTATTTATAGCAGATGGCAGCTCAACACAAACCAATCCTTATATTTTAGCCATGTTTAGTTTTTTAAGACCCTCATTTTTCAAAAAAATCTTCCAGATTTTTTTAGGGTATAAAAGGAATGTTTGAAAAGAAATTCTATATTATTTTTGGCTGTAGCTAATCGCTTTTATATAGTAGTTTTTAAATTTTTACTTGAAATCTTGCTAAATCAAACGGCGAACCTAGATGTGCCCAGACTAGCTCACCGATAATCTAGGACAACGAGTCTGTATTCTTTTTCTCCGCATCTCATCGTCAGTTCATTGACAATGTCGTTTCAGCCTCTTTTCGGAGCTCTATAATCAGTGTGCCTACTTGGGCACAACCCACTGAATTAACGATAAATGCTATCTTCACAAATTTTATATGTTACTCCTAGCCTAATTAAGCTGCCCCCTTTTTTTTTTTTTTTTTCTTTTTAATCAAAACCACTTTAAAAGGTAGCGTGCCGGAAAGGTTCATGACATGTTGCGAACATAAATAATAAGATTAATTTATTAAAGTTTAGCAAAAGGTATTTATATTAAAAATACAAAAGTCAGTAATGCATTACCAAGAAAATGCAAGCTTGTAAACTTTGAGAGCTCAAATCCATTATTTGAGGTACACCAAAAAGAACACAACATTTTTAAACAAATACCATGTCAAAATTAAAACTTCTCGAGTATATGTTCTATAGCAGAACCGGTGCTAAATGAAATCCTTTATAAACGTCTAAAGTAATAGTAACCCTAAAATAGATAATGTGATATGCTGGAATTTTGCTTTTTGTATTGTATATTATCCTTCATCAATTTTTAAACACCATTTCCTTTATAAAATTTAAATTAAAAAAAATTTATATTAATTTGTTACTTACATTTTGTAATTATCTTTTAATAAGCATTCCTGGGTACTTTTTATTAAAAAGTTGTTCTTTTTATTTTGAAAAATGGCGTCGTGACTTT